TTCTTGACCTCATTATAATGATAAACAAACAAAACAAAGATAAAGATATAAACAAGACGGAATTCAACAAGGCAACATTTGATGGTCAGGTGACTGAAGCAACTGATGGAGAAGTTGATGCGGGAGGCTAGAATTATAATACTTTAAATCAAGATGGCATGTTTAACTGCATCAAATGGTCAATATCGTTGATGTTCTTCCTTTTCAAACTTAATTTGATTTTTGAGGGCTAGGGCCTACCTACCTAGCCTAGCATGGCCTAGGCCTAGACCTACTCAATCTAGCCTAGCCCCGGAACTGAGTACATAACTGATGTCCGACGGACCGAGGAAGTACTTTGTTGTAGGCCTAGGCGTACAATACATATATACTGGCCTTGGTTAGGCATAGGCTAGGGAGGCCTATCCTAGACCTTTTACAGTAGTTAATCCAGGGTAGCCTACTAGCCTGGTACTTGCTTGATACTTGCTTGATGTTTTTGGGTCGGTTGGTAAGCTTTTAGTTAGCTTATGACACATCCAAAACTTCTTATTACACGATTCATTAACAGTAGACGTTTGGGGTTTCAGTGAATGAAAGTTCTTTAGCTCATAAAATTTAATGAAAATATGATGATTATAATTGTAACAATGTATACATAATTTCTCTAAAATGTACTTCCTGAAAAAAATACTTGTATAATTAATTACTTTATTCTTATTGTTATTAGTTTTTATTGTTATTTTCTATAAGTACAAAAATGAAAATTTACAATTTAGGTTAGCCCAGTGATCGTTAGTAAAGATTTAAATTCATTTAAACCAGTTGCCATTACAACTATAGATGGCAGACTGTTCCAAACATCAACCACTCTAGAACTAAATGTATATTTCTGGAGATCTAGTCTAGCCCTGTTTTTATATAGCTTAAACTTGTGCCCTCTAGTCTCACGAGAACTATCAGAAAATGAAAAAAAAACTTAAATTGTCGAGACCATTAATAATTCTAAAAACTTGAATCATCATATTTGCTCTGAGTCGTCTATATTCTAGAGTTGGTAAACCTAAATACTTCAACCTTTCAGTGTATGACAAACTTTTTAATTCAGGCTTAGTTGCTCTTCTTTGCACTCACTCAATTCTTTTAATTAATCCTATATTTTGAGGTGCCCAAACACAACAATTAAATTCCAAAATAGGACGAACTAAAGACTTGTATAATATTAAAAACATGTCCTTGTCATTATAAATGAATGTTTTTTTTATAAGACCTACCATTTTGTTAGCTTTAGAAACTGAAAAATTTATATGCTCATCAAATTTCAAATTACTATCAAAATGCACGCCAAGATCTTTTTCTAATAAAGGTACTACTAGGAATGATTGATAGTGTCGTGTTGACGAAGAGTGTGGCCTGTGTTGAGGGAGGAATAGCGGGAAAAAGAAGTATCCCCCTTCTTTCTTAACCTTATTCATTGTCTAAGCCCAGTCATACAAAATAAGGAATTCCAGTCAACCTGCCATCAATAACAACTCGCACTCTGTAACAATCGATCTGGTCCAGCAATATCGTGTTACTTAAACACGGGAGATGCCACCAAACAATAATACTACAACAAACAATTAGCTAGGATAAACATCATTTATTCTAGACCGACCTCTCGCAACAAGGCATCACTCTATCTATTTGTTTACTGCCTTCCTGTGTCATCACATGACATATCTTATGTCACTGTTACCCGCAATACAAAATAATAACAAATAGTAACTCGCATTACAACTCCCCTCCCGGACTGTACAAATTCACCCCATGCCCTACAAACTCCTCCTGAAACACTCGCCCCCCCCCCACCATATAAACTTTCCCAATCTCTTCCCCCTGACTGCATCGTCGCCCCTACAAACTTCCCCTATAAACCCCATCCCCTAACAAACTCCCCCACCAAACCAATGACTATCTAGTTTTGAAGCTAGAAAGTCACTGCCATAAATGTGGAAACATTAATACGGTAATGATCAATGTTTTTTTGTGTCTTCTTTTTTTTCCTTTTTTTTTTTTGTAGGTAAATTGCATAATTTGAAAGAAAAATTTATTAGGCTGCTGGAATAGATGGTTCTCATCAGCACTTCTCGAAAAATTGGTGAGGGATTTTTGTTTTCTGTCTTTCAACACAGTATGGGTCAAATCAAGGATCGCGTGTTTAAAATACGGATGCATGGCAGTCCGCATACACACTCTATGTTGCGACATACAGAATGGTTTGAGTGCATCACAATGAAGTGAGTCGGATTTTCAAGGAAATATAACAAAATTGAATCAAAAGAATCATCAGCTTTACTTTTTGACTATTTACCTCAGTTTTTTTTTTTTTCTAAAAGACACAAGGATTTTGACGAGTTTTTTGATGCGCGCCTAAAATTGTGAGCGGGTGGGTGATGAGAACCATGTATTGTATTTCCTGCAGCTTTGTGATAATAAAGATTGAATAAAATTTATTGTATCTGATATCGATTTGATGATTTTTTTTATAATAAATGTGTAAATAACATGAAAACATAAACAAATAATATTATAAATTTAATTTAATGAATTCCTTCCCTCTCTTGGGTTTAAACTCATACTTGACTCAATCAAAGTTAATTTGTGTTAAAAAACAAACAATTCTTTAAAAAAGTTAATTTGATGTTATACCTGTACACAAAAATGGTGTAGGTCGAGGCATGAAAAATAGTTTTTTCAAGGTGCAAATTTAAAAGGGGAACCCTTGCTAGGGACGTGTTGACTTGTTCCCAGAATAAGCAATAAATTTCATTAGAAAGAGGACTCAGGTTTGCTTTTCCTGAAATATTATTAAACCCGAGTTTAGAGTACAAACAACAGTTCCTAAGTATTTATTTTCAGTTAATTGTTCACTAGGTTTGTCATTCATAATTAATTGATTTACATTCCTTTTCCTAAAAACCAAATATTTCTTTTGTGTGTGTTTACTTTGAGATTGTTGATTTCAGTAAAGTAACTTTCTGCATCACAAGGTAGGAAGCTGGTAATGGCTATACCTTACTACCAAGGCCAAAAGGTTTGACCTAGGAATCCAACCGACCAGATTCAACCAATTACACGGTCTGATCGAGCAAAACAAATTTTTATTTTCTTAACTTGAGGAGACTGGAAATGTATACCATAAATATGCAAAGTACTGTAATGTTTCTTTATATCATTTTTTTAATTGAAATATATATGGTTTAATTTACCGTATATGTCAAATGTTGTTCAAAGTTATTGTTTAAGTGTGCAGACTATTTATTTCATACATTTTTTATTTTCCCATATTACAGGTTATTACCGCTTTGTGGTGCTATTTTTCAACTGTTTGTTGACTTTCGGAACATATTTTTGTTTTGATATGCCAAGTGTTCTTCAGGATACCTTTGAAGCAAAAGTGAGTGATCCATAATATCTTGATTGCTGGCTCTGTTCCTAATCATAAACTCATTGACTTAGAAGTTTGTGTTTTCAATCAATTTTCAATGAACTTCTGAGCCAGTAGGAAGCTATTACCCTCTTTTTAAAATGATTTGCTATATAAAGAAAAAGATTGTAGTGCTTTTTTGAAAGGGGTGGGGTGGTAGGGAACTACTACCCCACCCCCTAGATATTTGTAACCTTAGATATGGTGGAAGAGCCTGTAAAATGAAGCCTGCAGCGCATATTGAATGCAGGTTTTACCTAAATTACAAGGGAGCTTTTGATTGCATGAAGCGGGGCGTAGAACATAATGACATCACTAAGAAGTCATGTGCTCATACAAGAACAGTCCGTACTTGTCACTCGCATTCTTGGACGCAATTTGGCTAAATCAACGTTGTGCAGAGAATAAAGGATGGTCATGTATGAGTAAATCCGGTCTGGCGTTGCATTCTCAAAAGCTTCCTATTACATAGGATTGATACTACCTGTAACCAATTCTTATGTTTGTTCATAAATATAGTCAAGTTAAAGTTTTAACTCCATTATGCTGTGTTTATGTTTTAGGATGATTGTAACATTAATGATACAAGTGAGTGTACTGATGGCCTTGGGCTTAGATCCGACCAATATAACCTGTTGTATGCAGTTTATGCATGGACGTAAGTTTAACTTCTTAAAAAATAACCTTCAAACAATTAAAACATTAAAAACAAATAATATTTTTGCTCTATGGAACTATCAGTAAGGTGCATATGAAAAAATTTATTATAATTACTGACCTTGCTTATTGTAATTACTTAAACTCCATGTTTTAATTCTTCCAGAAATGCTCTGGTTGTCATAGCAGCAGGATTTTTGATTGACAAGCTAGGAAACCCTGGTGAGTAAAGCAGTACATGATACAAGCAGACCAAAACATAACTGCTGGTTTTGACTGGTTGATTATATTGGTTGATCAGCCCTTATAAATGGTGTTACGATAGTCACTTATGTATTAAGATAATTAGCATAAATAGTTTTGTATTAAGATGACAAAGTGAACAAACAATCCATCACCCCATATCTTCTGTATTTTCAATTGTTAATGCACATTATTATCAATAAAATGGTTGCCCATTAACATTTTGTCATGCACATTCACACATAAGCTCATTTGCAATACTAAAATGTTGTAACTATATACACAAAACCCATCGGCAGTTGATATATATAATATATACCTATAAAGTTTTACATTGGCTATTTTTTCTCCAGTTGGATTATTTTTATTCTCTGGACTGTGTCTTCTTGGCTCTTGTCTGTTTGCCATTGGCGCCATGCTGAAGGGAACAGCTGCAATGTTTCCTGTGATGTTACTGGGTCGTCTCCTCTTTGGTTCAGGAAATGGTTCTCTGACAAGTAAGTCTGCATATAATTATCGGTCATTTCACCTAAAGTTCTCTCCAAAAGAGTTTTGACATCCTGGTTTAAATCTGGTTTTTTTTTTAAATAAATTTCTGGTTTACAGTGACTAAAATCAAGAGTAAGAGGTCCGACTGCCAGGGTTTCTTTTAAAAGGGGATGCTATCTTGAAATTTACTACCACAAACTAGAGGGTGCTTTTAAAGAGTGTAAAAGTTGTATGTATCAAATGCATGCTCGAATTTCAAACTCTACTCGAATTCTAATAGGGTGCTCCTTACCTCGTAGTAGTACTTTTTTTTTGTATCACTGCATGCAAGCAAAACCAGGGCAGTCGAACCTCTTGTTATTTGCTAAAACACTCTACATTAAACACTGTAGCAGTAGTCCCTTCTTGGAACTTCTTCAGATAAATGACATTAGCATATTAACTAATGTCTATACCACCGATGGTGTACTGTAAATGTGCTCTGCGATGGACTGATACTCTTTACTAAAACACTCTACATTAAACACTGTAGCAGTAGTCCCTTCTTGGACCTTCTTCAGCTAAATGACATTAGCATATAAGCTAATGTCTACGCCACCGATGGTGTTGTACTGTAAATGTGCTCTGCAATGTTCCACAGACCTTTCACATGTTTTCCCCCTCCTGGACATGGGACTGATGTAGAAGTCATTGTAATTTTTTTTTTTTTTAATAGAACCATAATTTATATAGCGCCTTTCACAATCCACAGATTTTATAAGCGATTATACAAGGTGCTGGCATCATTATTTCCCTGGTCACTGGATACTGAGTTGGCAGATCCACACATTATGCAACTTTCTCTGCTCCCTGGGGAGTATCCCTGGTCATTGCTGCTTGAACGCGCACAACCCATATATTCAATGCCATAACATCTTACCCATTTATAATCCTGGGTGGAGAGAGGCAAACGTAAGTAAAGTGCCTTGTCCAAGGACACAAGCAATGCGACAAGCGTCGGTCTCGACCTCCCGATCTCACAATCCAACATCTTACACGCTGCACCACATGCACCATACATCATATGATCCTTCATCCCTGTTCATGGTGTTTATCTTCTGTTGTATCTGTTACAATTACTACTTCAAGATTCAAAGAAAGTGTTGATTTTACTAATTTGTGATATTTTTTGCCAGTTGTTCAGAATCGTATCACTGCTTTTTGGTTCCGAGATAAAGAACTTGCCTTTGCATTTGGAGTTACTTTAAGTTTTTCAAGAGCAGTAAGTTTTTTTTTAAATTATTATGGTAACAATCTTAAAGAAATAATTTGCTTATAATTTAAATTGGTTGTTTTTTCCAAATACGAAATGTTTTAATAAAATTATAAGGTTTCAATACAAAAAAATGCTTATGGCATATGAAATACTGTATTCTCGAAGATTATTGCTAAAATTTGAATTTCTTTTCTTTTCTTTATATAGGGCAGTGTGTTAAACTTCTTCCTAACTAAGAACTTTGCAAATAATTATGGCCTAGTATGGACATTGTGGGGAGGTACAATTCTTGTTGCCGTTGGTTTCCTCTCTGCAATTATTACCAGTATTCTTGATGTTTTGGGAATCAAACAGTTAGGTCAGGTAAGCAGTTATGTCAGGTAAGCAATAGGGTCAGGTAAGCAGTTACTTTAGTTAAGACAATTAACAGGGTAAGAAAACTTGAAGAAGTGAGAGAACAGGAAGATGTAGCTACTACCTTTATGTATATGATTATTCACAAATTTATTTATACATTCATTAATATAATATTTATATATTTATTTATTGTTTGCATATTATTTATTTGCATATTTATTTACATATTTACAAATGTATTTATAATTTAGTGATATGTATTTATATATTTGTATTTATTTGAATCCTTCATTTTTATATTTGTTCAGTTTGGTTGTAGAGTCACAGATTTAATGTTGGTCATTATTTATGTCTAGTGATGATATAATGGTTACATGTTTACATAATTGATTCATCATGTACACTAGTAAATTTGATTAATATATCTAGTAGACTAAAAGTTTAATGAATTATCCTTGTGTACTAAGAACATTTTTTCCCAACTTCTTTGTCTCTAGGAATTAATTGTCAAAGCAGAATCCAAGAAAGTACGTGTTAAGGACATTTTGCACTTTTCGTTCCAGTTTTGGTTGCTCGCCTTAACAATTATGTTCTTTTACAACGGTGTCTTTCCATTTGTTGCTGATGGAAGGTAATCAGTGAATCAATAAATCAATCAGTCAATCTCTGGAATGTATATTAGATCAACTTTCACAGTAAAAAAGGATGATAATAACAATGAGTTAAAAAAAACATCTTTCTTTCAATTGTAGTGAGTATATCCAACAAAAGTATAATTTCTCGGATGAATCCTTGACTCCATCATACTACACTGGAGCTACGTATGATGTTTCTCTCTGCCTCTCTCCCTTTCTTGGAATAGTAATTGTAAGTTCAAATAATTTTGTCATAAAATAGACCAATGTATATGGTCAATGAGTACTGGACATTCCTAATTTCTATATTTTTTATATAACTTTGTTAAATTTTGTGTACATATTATTTACAACCTTCCTCAGGCTTGTAGACAGTCGCTCCCCCTTTCCAATTGGACAAGCCTAGGATCTATCATTGGTTCCAGAAAATAATATTAATTTGCAAATCCATTTGTTTCTAATATTGTACTTTAAAAGCAAAATTTTATATATTTATAAAATGTCTTCCTTGACCCCCACACCCCCTCCCCAAGGGTTTATTCTGGTACCCTGACTGGAGACCCTAGGCTTCCTCTTGGTTCCAATACGTCTTTCAGGCTTGTTAGACCCTCTGTCAGGCAAATGTCCTACCAATGATAGTGGAACCACCAAATACAAATACGTTCCCCTCTCCACCACCCCTCTCCTCCACCCCTCTCCCACTTAAAAACCTTCTGGATCCATCCCTCATGATTAAAAAAGATATGATGATGATGATTATCATCATCATCATCATCATTATTAATGTTATTAAAGAGCTCTAGAACTCTTACTTGAAGAATCATCCAATATTGTTTACTAAAAGCTTGTGTTTTTTTCAGGATTTTATTGGCATGCGTGGTATTTTAGCATTGTGTTGTGGACTGCTTACCATTCCAGTGTTTGGAATCCTTGCTTTCACCCACATCAATGCTCTGGTCTGTACTCTTTGGCTTGGAGTTACCTATTCATTTGCAGCCGTAGGTGGACATTAATTTTTTTTTACTGTTCAAATACGATTCCTCTTGTGGTATAATTGTCAGGATTCAAAAATCAGTTGTTGACAATATATTTTGGTATAATGGCTGGGGCTGAGGTAAGAAAATTTGTGATTATGACACCTCTAGATGGCTGGAAATTGCACCCTCAGATTTAAAATTTAAATATAATTTTCTTTATATCTCCATTAAAAAAATATTTGAACAATTTAGGGAGTGCCCCAGCTGACTGCCCCCCCCCCCTTGAATCTGCCACTGTTGACAAATTTTAAGTAGATTTGGTTGAATTTTAATACCCATGTACAGTAAATGGTCATAATAATAGATTTAAATGTTTTGAAATTCTTCTCTTACCAGGCAAGTCTCTGGCCCTCTATACCTTTGGTTGTACCACCAGCAACTGTTGGCACGGCAATGGGTTTTACTACTTCAATACAGATGATTGGAATTGGTGTTTCAAACCTTATCGTTGGTGAAATATTAGGTGATAGTGATAAGTAAGGGCATGTTTTTTACATAATTACTTAAATCGTATAAAATGCCTGGTCTCCTGCACAGACAGGAACAGGGGCAAATCTCCTGTCTTCTGTATCCAATGACCAGGGAAAAAGCACCTTTTTAAAATCATACAAAAAATATGCACAATGAAAAATCTATTAAATATACATTGTTTTGTTGACAGCAACTTGGGGAGATGGAAGTGGGTGATGATATTCTTGTTAGGTAACACCATCTGTTGTGTTACAACAGCTGCTTTGCTGAACATTATTGACAGGAAAAGGGTAAGTTTATTAAACATTAAGTAGGCTTAGCTTATGCCATTTTAAGCTGATCCACTGCTAAATGTTCTAAATTGCTGCTGTTATTATCAGAGTATTATTATTGTTATTAAATTTGATTTCATCTTCATTAAAATTCGGTCTAAGAAAATTATAATGTAGCACAAGTACACAATGCTGTTTGAAAATGCTCATATTTGTAATCAAGCACATGCTTGACCACTTACCCCCTCCTCTATGGCAGCAAACTAGTTCCACAAAGTCAGTTTGGAGGTCCAAAGTGAATTTTTGATTTAACACAGAGGCCACAATGTGTAGGGGCTCATATAGTCTGTACAAAGACTAGTGACCTGAGGTCATTTACCCACTTTGCCTACCTGTGCACTAAGTGGTATTAAAAACTAAAAATGACCATTAAGTTTTCATTGCAATGGGGATTTAGTTCCACATATTCATTTTTCGCACCCCTCCTTCACCCAGTATGATGATGCACACTGACGCATATACCCTAGTGGGGTCCTTTGTCAGTAGGGTCCAGATTCAGCCTATGCACCTAAAGCACATCAACCATCTCAGTTCACTTTCTCTTACAGGGTGGAGTCTTAAATGAGAGCAGGAGAATGAAACAAATACGTCTGAAAGGTTGGATGGAAAAGTCAATCCAATCAATCGACTACAATGGTGAAACTGATCAATTAGTGCCTAACACGGTTATGCCAACTGCTGATTGCTAAAACATGGGCTACTATCAATATACAGAATATTCATGTCTCCTGTCTTTTTTGTTTTATGCACAAATATGTCTTTGGTTACCTCAAAACTTTTGTCTGGTTACAACCAAACTACTGTATATTTTTTTATGAATCATGGTGGATAGAGAAGTTGGAGGATGAGTCAAAGAAGAGAAAGAGTATGTGGTAACCTACAATTTTAATTTGGAGCCAACCTTCCCCCTCCCCTCCATTCCTGAACTACCCCAACATTTTTACTTATTACTCACATTTATAATACCTTTATTTTTTTAAAACAAATTTGCAACAGTAACTTGAAACCAGTTTTTGATACAAATATTTAGTTTGCTACATTTCTGAGTCAATGTTTCATCTCAGAGTCAACATTTTAAGGTTGAACATTAAAGGGTCATGCAAAATAATATAGAAACAGCAGTGCAATTTATCTATTAACTTGCCAGAAAAATATTGTTTCATTCTATTTTTAAGATAAAATATAACAACTTGTGTACAGTATATCAAAATAAGCAGTTCATATATTTAATTAAATTTTAATTTTTTTTTTAATTTAAAGCTTTAAGCTCCTTATATTATACAGAAGCAGCAATTATCCTATATGTGTGGTCTCACCATGAAATGAGATATTCACCAAAACAGGCCAAAGTCAAAGTAATGTTGATTTTAATGTTTTTGAATAACTTGATACTTATATTTTATGATTATGATGTACAGGTTAGTTTATCTTTGAGGCCGATTTTCTCAAAATGTGGCTCTTATACACCTAAACTTTAAATGCTCACATCTCTGGATTTACTTATAATAGGGAAGCCATTTAAAGACCAAATGAAAGCTGATGATGTGATCTACCCAAATATAATATAAACTCAATTTTTGAATTTCTAACCATGAGACTCATTTTGTGGC